GAATTCACAAATGTTGATCCTGGACCATCAAATATATAAATTCACAAATTTTTATCCTGGACCATCAAATATATGAACTTGCTAATGTTGGTCCTGGACCATCAAATATTTGAATTCACAAAAATGTTGATCCTGGACCTTCAAATATATAAATTCACAAATTTTAATCCTGGACCATCAAATATATAAGTTCATTATTGTTGATACTGGACCATCAAGTTTATAAATTCATTAATGTTGATCCTGGACCATCAAATATATAAATTCACCAATGTTGATCCTGGACTATCAAATATATAAATTCACCAATGCTGATCCCGGACCATCAAATTTATAAGTTTGTCAATGTTGATCCTTGACTTTCAAATTTATAAATTAGCTAATGTTGATCCTGGACCATAAAATTTTAAATTCGCTAATGTTAATCCTGGACCATCAAATATTTAAATATGCTAATGTTGATCCTGGACCATCAAATATTTAACTTCACTAATGTTGATCCTGGACCATCAAATATATAAATTCGGTGATGTTGATCCTGGACCATCAAATTTATAAGCTTGCTAATGTTGAATCTGGCCATCAAATATTTAAATTCACTAAAGTTGATCCTGGACCATCAAATATCTAAATTCACTAATGATGATCCTGGACCATCTAATATATAAATTTGCTAATGTTGATCCTGGACCATCAAATATATAAGTTCATTATTGTTGATCCTGGACCATCAAATAAATGAATCTGCTAATGTTGATCCTGGACCATCAAATATATAAATTAATTTTTCTCGATCCTGGACCATCAAATTTATAAGCTTGCTAATGTTGATCCTGAACCATCAAATATTTGAAGACACTAATGTTGATCTTGGACCATCAAATATTTAAATTCACTAATGTTGATCCTGGACCATCAAATATTTAAATTCACTAATGTTGATCCTAAACCATCAAATATGTAAATTCACTAATGTTGATCCTGGACCATCAAATATTTGAAGTCACTAATGTTGATCCTGGACCATCAAATATTTAAATTTACTAATGTTGATCCTGGACCATCAAATACATTAATTCGGTGATGTTGATCCTGGACCATCAAATATTTGAAGTCTCTAATGTTGATCCTGGACCATCAAATATATAAATTCACTAATGTTGATCCTGGACCATCAAATAAATAAATTCGCTAATGTTGATCCTGGACCATCAAATATATAAATTCTGTGATGTTGATCCTGGACCATCAAATATATAAATTCACTAATGTTGATCCTGGACCATCAAAATGATTAATTTACTAATGTTGATCCTGGACCATCAAATATATGAATACGCTAAAGCTGATCCAGAACCATTAAATACATAAATTTCTTAATGTTGATCCTGGTCAAACATATAAAGTCACTATTGTTAATCCAGGACCATCAAAGTTACAAGTTCACCCATTCTTCATCCTGAACCATCAAATATATGAATTCACTTACAGTATGCTGATCTTGGACCATTAATTATATCAAGTCACTAAAGTTGTCCCCTGGATCTGTACATTTATAAATTCACTAATGTTTAACCTGGACTCTCAACTAGATAAAGTTACTAAGTTGATCTTGGACCTTTAAACTCATAATTCACTAATGCTGAACCTGGACCACGAAATATATTTTATTGCAGTTTAAATGGACTAAATATTCTATTTATAAACTTAAATGTAACAAGCCTGATTGCATGTTAAAATTGCTGAAGAAAATGTCCTTTTGCAAATGTGTTAGGGTAGGCAATTCAGTCATAACTTATTGCTAAAACAGCTATCATAACATTATTTATCAATATGTGGTGGTTTTTGCATTCTCGGAAGCTATAGAAATCAAAAATGTAAAAAATAAAATACACTGGGACCTTTGTTTTTGTTTACATCACTCAAAATGGTTTATATACTCAAACATATAATCAAATATATGCATGTATGTATTTATATTTCCCTAATAAATATACACAGCACACACACATAAATTACAATTATTATTATTTTAGATGTGAATAATCACAATTCATTTTTGCTCAGCACATTAAAAAAACAAACAAACGAAAAAACACATTAAGTACACATTGAAACTTGGCTCACTAACATGATAACTGAAAAATTACAAATGTAAAATTACTTTGTCTTTGTGCGTTCTGTGTCTGCCTTCTGGTCATCCTCCAATGCCATTTGCCTAATCCCAAAATACCATAGAAAAATATTTAAAATAAAGTGTGTCAGAAAAAAGAAAATTTAGTCTGATGTGGGGAAAAGTGTGCTCTAACACTCACACTTTTGCCATGGAAATGTATTCAGTGGCTTCCTCTGGAGATTCATCCTCCTCTTCGACCCTCTCGTCCTTGATATCGCTCAGAAACCTCTGTCAGAAAGAGTTATATGCTGTATAAAAAAGGTAATACGCTGTAATATTTGCGCTCATGTTAAAAAAAACATAAATATGTACCTTTCGCGGTTCTGCTACTGGAGCTTTGAAAAAAGTGCGAGGGGAGTCATAGTAACTTTGAGGTGATAAATAAGTTGACATTAGAGCAGGATCTTCTGACTTTCTTTCATCAGGCTGGTCTTCAAACTGTGGTTTTGGTGGAACATTCAAACATCAACATTTTCCGGCAAAATTTGCTTAGTGCACCATAAAGATTTAAGAGTTCACTAATAACAGTTAGATAATTGAAGTATCAGTCATTAAAACTGTATTCGTTAACCACTAATCTCAATATGATGAGTACAACCCTGTTAGAACCATCATCTGACTTATTGGAGCAGATAAAATGACTAGTAGCTTTTCCACAACTGCCATGATCTACATAAACTGACATATGAAATATTTGTGCTTATGTTGAAGAAACTCGTGGGTAAATGTGTACCTTGTGCAATTCTGCTACTTGAGCATTGAAAAGACTGCGAGGGCAGGCATAGTAACTTTGCGGTGAAGTTGACATTAGAGCAGCTTCTGAATCTTTTTCATCAGGCTGGTCTGTAGGCGTTGGTTGCCAATAGTTCATAGGTCCAGATATTGATTTGATGCTCTGATTCTGTGGAAAAAGGTAAAATATTTGTATCCTCAGACTTTTTAGTAGTTATATTTAATTGAATTAAAATTTATTTATTATATTTATTATGATAATGCCTAAACAACTCAATTTGCCTATTTAACATAATCATTTAGATAAACCTTTAAATTTATGAATTGTAGTATTTTGCAAAATTTTCATTCATTCATTCATTCATTCATTCATTTATTTTCTTATTGGCTTAGTCCCTTTTTTAATATGAAGTCACCACAGCGGAATGAACCACCAACTTATCCAGGATATGTTTTACGCAGCGGATGCCCTTCCAGCTGCAACCCATCACTGGGAAACATCCATACACACTCATTCACACACATACTCTGTGAACCACAACCTTCTTGCTGTGAGGCGGTTGTGCTACCCATTGTGCCACCATGCTGCCCCTCTTGCAAAATATGTAAAATGATATTATGCACTGTCACCATGGCAAAGACAAAATAAGGTAGATATTAAAACTATTGTTTAAAAATGTGTTGAATCAATCTTCTCTCTGTCAGGCAACAATTGGGAAATATTTAAAAAATGATTTCAGTTTTTAACTGATTAACAATAATATAATAGAAGGAGCGATAGAGAGATATTTTAATGTTTACCTTATCATCACATTCATCTGTATTTTGCATTTTGTTTTGCGAGTTCTGCAGTGCGGTGGTTATTGCATTGAGCCAGGAATCCACGTCATCACTGAAAGTAAAAAAACAAACAAACATTAAAACTACTGTTTTTGGAAAAACCTAAATGTTCAAAATTAAATTTGTATTAAATTTCCTCTATCCACTACCTGACAAGTATTGTCGCGTATTCTAGTTTAAGGAACGACAAATAGTAACTTGACTTCTAGTTGATCAATTGGTATCAGAAATGGCTTATATAAAAGGCAAAGGCCTCTAGATTATGCTTATTTCGCCATATTAAAAGATGATCATGCCTTGATTTTTCATTATTTAATTAGGACAGTAAGGTCTGACTTTGCTGCGACTAAAGTCTTGTCATTTAACAGAAATAATGTACAGTATAGAATATAAAGTCATGGTGCAGTGGAAAAAGAAATAGTATTTTGTATGACTCCCATGAGCTTGGATGACTGCATCCAAACAGCTCTGCACTGACTCAAATAACTTATTTATGAAGTCATCTTGAATGACAAAGAAAGAATTCTTGCAGGACTCCCAGTTCATCAGGATTCTTTGGATTCATCTTCAATGTCTCCTCATTCATCTTACCCCAGTCTCGTGACTGGGCTGGCCATTCCTGGACAAAGACTATAGCAGGAGTGACCAACCCTGTTCCTGGATATTCCTGCAACCCATATCAAACACACCTGCCTGTAATTATCAAGTGCTGTTCAGGTCCTAATTAATTGGTTCAGGTGTGTTTAATCAGGGTTGGAGCAGGAAGGTAGATCTCCAGGAACCGGGTTGAGCACCACTGGTCTATAGAATACACAAGACATGTCACTTGTGTCTTTTTGAGTGGGAAAAAGTGTAATGGTCAATATGGTAAATAAAGCCCCGCCTATTAAAACAGGAGCTAATCATCGATCACTATATGGTAAACAAATCCTGCCTTCTAATACAGGAGCCAATCATTGATCACTATAGACTGATGATTCTCCAGGGGAGGGGCTCAGACCAGACATGAGTTTCTGCGGATTTTGTGTAATTGGATGTTTAGAAATGAAACTAAAGACACAGTTGTTGTTGTTGAATTTTATTGGTGATTCCTAATACGAAATTCAATCCTAAGCTTGGCAAGTAGTTTTGGAGAATTTGATGTTTCCCCATTCAGACAGATTGCCCGAGCACACTGCCAAAGAGATGTTTCAAAGATGGCCGCCTAGTGAATTGGCTTGCCTTAAAGGGTTTTTATTCCTGCAGCACCTTGACCTTTGATGCATTTAGGAACTTTAATGTGGAGGCTGCAGTATGCGAAGGAGCGCTATCCTGCTGAAGAATTTCCCTTCTCCTGTGGTTCATAATGTAATAGGCAGTACAAATGTCTTGATACTTGGGCTAGTGATGTTGCAATCCACTCTGCAGATCTCTTGCACTCCCCCATACTGAATGTAACCCCAAATCAGGAATTTTCTTCTCCAAACTTGACTGAATTCTGTGAGAAATCTTGGCTTCATGCGGGTTCTTCTGCAGTATGTATGAAGATTGGCATGCAGTTCATCAGATGAAAAAATCTACATTCTGCCTCTTTTCCAAATGATCAACTAAATGTCAAGTTATTATTTGTTGCTCTTACAACTGGGATCGACGACGAGACTTTTGTCAGGCAGTGTATGTAAATAGTATATTGATAATTACTACATATATAATTGAAAAGCAGATTTTTTGCAATTATATTTACTGTTATTACCATGTCATTTTCTTTGAGTTCATGTATTTAATAACTTTTTTTAAATAGTTGAACACCATCTAATTTATATGCAGATTTTTAAGATAGGTTATAACTATGTCAGTTTGTCTTTGTTGGCAGATTCTGAAAGACTCTATTTCAAATCTGCTAACAAAAGTTGATTTTTATCATTTCAAATTCTGTGCTACACCTTCTGCATACACGTGGCTTCAAAATCAATTGACCCAAATTAAAAGCCACAACACAATCTTCATTTCATGGAGGCTTTACATATTGCTTGTGTCTAACTCACACTGGCATTCACAGATTGTTTGCATGCTGTAATGGCTATGATAGATCTGGTCAAAATGGTGCCAAACCTGTTTTGTCCAATGAGAAAATAGTCTCTAGTTTCCACCGTCAAGAACAGCACAGAGGATGGAGGACACTTGAAGTGTTTCTGGATCCAGGGCCATCTTGAATGTGCCTCTGGGGCAGTAGACAACAAGCTAATTCTTTAAAACAGAAATACTTTAATATGGGATAAAAATGCTTTGATTATTTATTAATGAATTATTCTCTTTCTTACTTTGAAAGATCTATTGTTCCCAAAGGTTTGTCTCTGCTTTCATTATTTCGATAATATGATAGGTGGTAGTTATCTTTATCTACCTTGGAGAGCACAAAGAAACGGCGCTTCCATGATTTCTGTAAATAAAGTGTCATTCATTTCATTAACAAAGCAGTAGATTTAACAGATAATTTAGTTTTAATTTGAGACATACAATGCCTTTAGCCGGTGGTGATTTGTTCAAGTATCCAGAGCGGATTTCCTCCACCATTGCTAAAACATTTAAAACTGATCATTGCAGTAGAATTTATTCATCGCTTTCCTTCATTACCCGTGTCTCAAATATATTTTAGGCTTACCTGATTTAGTTCTGTTGCTCATGTTGTTGCCTTATTGCTGAAATAGATGTGAATTTTTAGGTGAAGTCAAAATTATTTCTTAGTCACACGTATCACAAAGCATAATAATATCATTAGCCATATTTTATTGTAATATTGCTGTACCTTGTGTCTCAAAAAGTAGTTTCCTCTGTTCAGATCTCACAACTTTCATTTTATGGCAGCTGTTCAGAAGGAAGCACAAGGTTTTTTGTTATATCCGCAGAGTTATGTCAGGAGGAGTTATACCTGGTTATACCTGTATGCAAACCCAAGAATAAGGTCCCTCCTTAATTTGTGCAAATTACCAAACAGACGAGATACACAAAAATGTCTTTAAATTTTTATGAAGAAAAAAAGTAATTTGTTTACAGCCACTAGTTTATAAAGCAGATTAAAAAATGACCACAGACTTACCAGAGTGCTGTACAGGTTAGAGTAAAAATATAGACTAATACTATCAAAACAGATAAAGCATGACATTCATTATTAGAGAATAAATGAGTTTTAAGACAATTCTTGAACAGAAAGGAAGCCAATAAAATGTGAGAGTTTGTTCCACAGTATGGGGCCGGCAACTTCAAATGCCAGATTTTCCAGATAGACACATAGATGTCACCTATAAGCCTATATAATAAGTGCCGGTTACTTTGTTTATAATAACTTAAACTGAAAAAAGTTATTAGCAATTAGTTATTAGTGTGTGAATTAGTTAAAGTTATTAGTAATTAATAAAGTTGTTGTAACTATTAACCTCAACTTTTCTAATTTTGATGGATTTGACTTTGTAATTCAATAATGTGCCCCTTTGTAGAGCTGCTTTAAAACTACAACTAGCACGATAAGCACTATAGAGATAAACTTAAAACTTGAAAAAAAGGGGCTAATTCATACAAACTAATACAACTTTTACAACAAATGTACTGTTTTTAAAAGGAGATGTGCCTCCGATTTGATGAACTTGAAAGTTGAACATCTCCCATGGCCTGCACAGTTACCAGAACTAAATGTTATTGAGCCTCTTTTTGGTATTGTACTGTGCAGAGCTTGTATCTGTCATTTCTAAGACAAATTATATTGACCGGAAAAGGAGGTCCTACACCACACTCTTGAAGTGTTGTTTTCTAAAACCAGGCATTTGAGTGTTATTGCCCAAACCCTGATTATCTGTGTGTGTGTGTGTGTGTGTGTGTGTGTGTGTGTGTGTGTGTGTGTGTGTGTGTGTGTGCATGCGTGAGTGCATGTGTGTCAACCCATATTTGAAGTCAGTTGAAGCCAGAATTCAAATGTTAAAATGTTGATTCCTTTTAAATATTTCCCAAATGATGATTGCCCAAATGTATGTCTGATTTTTTTTTCTTTTGAAGAAAGTGTTATTTGTTTTATTTCTGCAAGAATAATAGCAGTTTAAAAATTATTAGCCCCCCTAGATTTTTTTGATAGTCTACAGAACAAACCATCAGTATACAATAACTTGTCTTATTATCCTAACCTGCCTCAATAGCCTAATTAACCTAGTTAAAAATTTTAATGTTGTAAAATAGCTGTGTAGAAGTGTCTTGAAAAACATCTAGTAAAATATTATTTATTGTCATCATGGCAAAGATAAAATAAATCAGTTATTAGAAATGAGTTAATAAAATTATTATGTTTAGGAATGTGTTGAAAAAAATCTGCTCTCCGTTAAACAGAAATTGGGGAAAAAATAAACGGGGGCGAAAAATTCAGGAGAGCTAATAACTCTGACTTACACTGTATATATACATATACAACAATTCAGTCTCGTTCTTGAATCTGATTGGCTGATAGCCTTGCGATATTCTGCAAATAACAGCCCTCATACAGCCTCTTAGCCCTTCACCCTTGTGTATTACTCCACCCACATACTGTCACAATAAGATAGAAAACTCCACTATAAATAATAATGAGAAACCGATGCATCATCTTTGCACTTGCAGTTTTGCTCTATGTCGCTGAGTTTGATCCCACTCCAAAAATCATTTTAAACCCGGAAGCTGAAATTAGCTGACAAAAGCTCAAAATTATCCAGTTTTCCCCACAATTAAAGCTGACAGGTGCTAACATTGTCTTAACTGATGCTCAGCACACAAACAAAAATGCTTCCAGAAATAGTTTACAAATTTTAATAATACTTCACATTGTAACAATGTGCAAAAACATGTAATTCTACAGCTTTCATCTTTCATCAGCATATAAAAATAGACTACATATTCTTCAGTGATCATTTATCAAGAGTAACTGACACATTTTAATCATTGATTAATCAATAATAGCATCCTTGTTTAAATGCATTGCAAAGTATAATACACATAAATGTTGTATATATACAGTAAATGTTACATATACAAGTAAATGTTGTATATACACAGTAAATAATACACATAAATGTTGTATATACACAGTATATAAAGTATCTCATACTGTTAGAAAGTGCAGCTTTAAAGAGCTTATAATATATGAACAGTTTAGAACTGCGTATTTTGCTGTGAATTAACCTTCATACTTGTTATAAAGTAATACTTAACTCTTGTTTTTCAAATAAACAAACATTAACTCATATTTCCACTACTGTCTCATATAGTACATATATACAGTCATTTTCTTGTAAGGTCAGTGATTTTAACAGTCAATTTACATATTTACATGCTTTATGTACAGTACATGCACAGAGGACAAATACTTTGGATAAACTCATTGCCTCTTCTGTAACTTATTAATGCTGTGCTTTCCTCCTTTATGACTAGAATCTAATGATGCCAAACAAACCCTTTAACCTTGAGCTACACTTGTACACAACAATTCTGATATCTCAATGGTTGCTGATGAGAGATGATGTGATGTTTCTGTCATGTCCTTAGTGTGATGGACAGGCTTCACTGTGGAGAGGCTGGGACCCTGGAAGCCGCCGAATGGTGAGTTTCACCTACAAGCAGTTTTAGTAATGTTATTTATAGCTTTCTAAATGCTGTGATGATTTATATATATATATATATATATATATATATATATATATATATATATATATATATATATATATATATATATATATATATATATATATATTTACTATATATTGTCATCTTACCTCATCCTTGCTGAGTCTTCTAAGGTATGTCTGTATCTCATCTACTGTGTCTATCAGTAGATCGTTGAAGGCAAGGATCTGATCACCCTTGTGGAAAAGACACGAGTCCTGACTCTGCCGACACTCAGACACACTGGACAGAAACGTGACATACAATGTAAGTTGTTTGTGCTTGTGATTTTGAATACTACATAGTAATAATTAATATATTAGTAAGAGTTGTACCAAGGTTTGCCTTCTTTCTCTGTTAAAACCAGACTGTTTTTCAGGCTGTTTTGACTAATGCAGATCTCCTTTTCAACATGTGTTTCCGTTCCACTACAGAACAAACATATGCATTAATAACATGACAACACACTCAAAAACATGTTTTTCCCTAACCTTACAGACCAGGGGTGTCCAAACTTGCTCTTGGAGGGCTGGTGTCCTGCATAGTTTGTCTTCCTTCAACACCTCCCTGAAAGTTTCTAGTACAGCTAGATAGAGCTTGGTTAGCTGGTTCAGGTGTATTTAATTGGGGTTGGAACTAAAATATGCAGGACATTGGCCCTCCAGGACTGAGTTTGGACACCCCTGTTATAGACAATCAAATGACAGAAAATTTTAAAATTTGCTTGCACTCTTAGAAATAAATGTCCTGTATTTGTGATTTAAAAAAAAACATTTAACATCAATGAAACCTTTTTGAAAGGTTTTTAAAATTGAGTACTTACTTTAAATATTTACTAAACTGTTTTTTTGTAGCTCTTCATCTTAAAATTATGTCATTTCATATACAAATACTATGTTGTCATTTAATTTTATTCGCATAACAAAATTCTGTTGTTATGAAGTTTTGATTCTGGCAATAACTCTATTATAATTTTCATATATCATTTTAATTATATAATATGTATCATTATTTAGCTTGAGGGTGAATAATGACTGTATAAAATAGACATGCATGTTTCACAACAGCTACAAATAAAGCCTGCTAAGTAAACTTGTCAATCCATCTTAAAGGATGACGCAAAAGAATGTAAACAGGTGCAGTCTGACCAATCAGAGCACAGCTTTACCCAAACGTGACTGACGTACACATGTAAACACGTGTGATTTAAAAAGTTGCTTTGTTAAAGTCAACTAAACCAAGAAAAAACTGCAATTTTGTTTAACTTTTTAACAAGTTAAAGTTTCCGGTCCCAGCTGATCTCCAGGTCTAAAACGTCCTTAGTAAAGTCTAATATTGACTTAAAATTGAAATCAAAATTCTTAGCCCTGCTGTGATTTTTTTTTCTCTTTCAAATTTACCAAATGATGTTTAGGAGAGCAAGAAAGTTTTCAGTTTTTTCAATAATACTTTTTTTTCTGGAAAAAAGTCTTATTTGTTTAATTTCTGAAAGAATAAAAGCAGTTTAACATTTGTAAAAAAAAAACATTTTAACATCAATAATATTAGCCCTTTTAAGCAGTATTTTATTTTGAATGTCTACAGAATGAGTTACCTAATTACCCTAACTTGCCTAATTAACCTAGTTAAGCATTTAAATTGCCCTTTAAGTTGAGTACTAGTATACTAAAAATGTCTAGTCAAATATTATATACTGTCATCATGTCAAAAATAAAAGTAATCAGTTATTTTAAATTATTTAATAAAACTATTATGTTTAGAAATGTGATAGAGTATCTTCCCACTAAACAAAAATTGGGGAAATAAAAATACAGGGTGGCTAATAATTCTGACTTCAGCTGTATATTGAGATGGCTGGTGGATATGAATGAATTAAATCACCTTTTGTTTGAAGGTGCTTTGTCCAGCTCAGTCGATGCATGGTTATTATTGAAGTTGTGATGACGTGGTTGTGAATGCTCACGTGGATCAGAATTTCTCCTTTCTTTATTCATTCTAGGGAAAAAAAAATAATAGAAAGTGAATGAAGCTGTTCAAGCGTATTCCATGTTTTTTCAAAGCTGTCACAACATTGCCTTAAGGTTTACTTTTGATTTTGGTCATCTGTTTCCTGGTTGACTGCACCATTGCACACAGACGCATCGCGACCATCATTGCAACTAAAAAAGACAAGCAAAAATAACATTACGTTAAAAAAATGCAATCAAGTTTAGAGTTCTGGTCAAATATGATTGCATCTTTCAGGTATCAAGATGCTAAAACCATGTCAAGTGTTCTAATCTTAGCATTCGCCCATGACCAGACCTGTTCTGCAAGACTGAAAACATCTGAACAACAAAACACACTGTTCAGCAGCACTAAGATAAAGAGTTGTTTTGTAGTCTTTAAATAAACCAAGAATCACATCTATGTGTAGCATCTGAAGCACAGAGTGCAATGAACCTATGGTGAACGTGCCAGAATGTTTCAAAGGCGATACAAAGCAAATTGATTCAAACTTTCGCAACTGAGACAACAGCAATGTCATGGTGAGTCAGAGAGTTTATAATTACCTTTGTGCGCATGCAGTGCTTTTCTCCTGCTGGTTATCTTCCAAAGCTATTTGTCTAATCCACACACAGAAAAAAGAGCAATTCAATGAAAATGAAAACTTTTAAAACTTCAGAATAAAACTATAACTCCTCTCAAACACTTACACTGATGCCATGCACATATATTCACTGCTCTTTTCTGGAGATTTATCTTTCTCCTTCGTCTTCTCATCTTGAATCTCAATAACTGAGAGCTGTCAGAAAGATATTTGGCTTTATTTTGTGCATTGTTGAAGTTTAAGAGTATTTGTGGGATGGCTGTATGTTGAAGAATAGATGTATAAACATGTCAAACCTTGCGCTCTGCTGGTACTAGAGGTTCACTGAACTTGCGAGGATAGTCATAATGGCTTTGTGTTGAAAAGGAAGCCGACATTAGAGCTGGCGCTGACCATCTTTCATCATGGTGATCTTCAACTTTCGGCTCTGAGCAGTTTAGAGGTGCGGAAATCGATCTGATTCTGTTGTCCTGTAGAGAAAGAGTAAGTGAGATTAAACAAACCAACATCAAACTAATTAACCTCGTTTTTTAGCTTAGTTTTTAATTGAGATAGGACAGGAAAGTGTTGGAAGCAGAGAGAGGGGAAGGATCTGCATTGGACCTCGAGCAGGGAATTGAACTCGGGTCATCGTGAGCACCATTGAGCTATATGTCAGCACGCTTAACCACTAGACTATTAATTATTAATCATTAATTCCTATTTACCTTAATTAGTTAACCAAATTACCATAGTTAAGCCTTTGATTTACACCCTAATTTGAATGGTTTCTCACAAAAAATAGTAAAATCTCATGAGCTGTCCTCATAACAAAAGAAATTAGGCATTAAAAATGATTAATTAAAACTATTATCTGTAAAAATGTGTTCTTCTTTACGTTAAACAGAACTTAAAACATTTTTAGAGATAATAATTTTGCCCTTAACTGTCAACCTTGTGAATTTAATAACAAAAAAATAAAGAATTATGTAAAGTAATTAGAAGAAGAAATCTTAGCAAATGTTGAATGCTTTTAAGAAGCTAAATTTGCTCATATTTCCTTTTTATTTTAAATAATTGGTAATAATAAAAAAAACAAAGGGAGAGATTCTTTTAAAGTTTACCTGTGGGGGATCCTCTGTATTTGGTTTACATTGTGATTTCTTCAGTGCAGTGACTATTGCATTGAGCCAGCCATCCACATCATCACTGAAAGCAGCAGAAAAGATTGCACTTTAAACACAAAAAATAATACCACTCTTTCGGAAAGAAAATTAAAAGTTTATACTCAGAAATGTCTGAAAAGGGCGATATCTAGTATATAAAATTATTTTTAATTATTGAGAAGTATTTGGGACTCCATGAGCTCAATTGTCAGAAACTTTGAATAGCTTTTTGCCTGCATCATGCTGGCATTCAGTGAACTATTTTTATGACGGCAATGATAGACATGGTCAAAATGATTATGGCAAACCTGTTTTGTCCAATGAGAAAATAGTCTCTAGTTTCCACCGTCATGAAAAGCACAGAGGATGGAGGACACTTGATGTGTTTCTGGATCCAGTCCCATGTTGGATGTGAATCTGGGCTAGTAAACAGCAGGCTGATCCTTTAAAACAGAAACATTTGCTTATTATACTGTAAAGAAACTTCATTTATTTCAAGTATTCATGATTCTTTTTTTCTTACTTGGAAAGATCTATCTTTCCCAAAGGCTTGTCTCTCCTTTCGCTGCTTGGATAATATGTCAGCTGGTGGTTGTTATCGACAGTCTTGGAGAGCACAAAAAAACGCCGCTTCCATGATTTCTGTGACAGCTAGAATATGTTTGCCGATTAGTTTCATTAACAGAAATCTGCTTTTATTAGACTGCAGATATTTCAATTTCAAGCTTATTGCAATATGAGACTTACAAGGTTTTTTGCAATGATCGGTGAAGCAGGAGACTTTTGTAAATATCCAGTGTACACTTCCTCCACCATCACTGGTTCCTTGTAAAACTTTGCAGTCGCTATGGCAGGAAAAAAAACAGTCAGAATTAAATACACAGATAACACCTGAACTTAGAATTGAAGTAAAATATCCTGTCATTATACAAGATTTTAGACTTACATGATTTAGTTTTGTTGCTCATGATGATGCTTCAGTTCTATAATACATATAAGAATAGAGAAGTTTGTTATTTTTCCGTAAGATCTAACATACAAAACAGGCTGTATGATGTAAACAACAAGTTTCCATTGGTTATTGTTATTTACTAACATCACAAACAAAACAATGAGTAATACAGTATTGATTTGTCTTATTATTTAAGGGCAATACAGTTGTTCATTGTTAGTTCTTGCTAACTCTGGTCATTAATGTTTACAAGCATACGCTGTAAAAATGCTGTGTTCCACACAATCAAATTGTGTTTGGACAACATCAAGGAATTAAGTGAACTTATTAGTTTTTGCAAACCTAAGTAGATTAAACATAAAACAATTAAGTTGTCCCCCCAAAAAATCTCAAAAATCATGTTTTTTCAGCAAATTTTATTTAAGTAGTTTGAACAAACAGTAAGTGAAATATTTAGTGCAAATTTACATTTTAATAAAGCTTTATTAAATGTTAAACCTTAATTAATAATTATAAGTAATGCTGTACAAGTGTTGTTTTTAGTGTACGTTAATAAATACATTAAAATTAACATGTTAATTTGCAAAGTGTGATCAAAACAACAGTTTAGTAAATTGCAAAATTGGAAACCAACTTTCATATTATTATTATTTCTGTGCAAGCATCACACAGCAGAATAATCATATCAACGGCTGTAGATTGTTCTCTTACCTTGTGTCACAGTAAAAATAGTGTCCTCTGAGTTATTCAGCTCTCACAAAGTGCATCTTATAAGGAAGCTGAAGGATTTTTGTTTCGTCTAGAGAGCAATACCAGTAACAGGAGGAGTTTCTGGTTATATGTAAGCTCAGGTTTAAGGTCCCTCCTATTTGATTGTCAGACAGTTTGTGGAAATTACCAGACAAACTATTCGTAATGGCTTTGTGGTTTTATGTTAAACCTATAATGCTAAAAAAAGAAAGTTTAAGCATTACTTTGGGATCGAAAATCTGCATAAATCTGCAAAGAAAGTAAAGAATGTGGGACTTTTCAGTCAGATTAAAATGGATTTGTGTTGTTGGAAGCTCTTGGATTTCTTTCAGGAATGCATGAGGTCACTTAATAATCTACTTTGCGAAAGTGATCAGTAGCTTTATTTCTCCGAAAGCTGCCTACTGGGGATTTTGGGGGAATTTAGTAAACACTTCTAAGGGTAATTGTTTTCCTCCCTTTCCTGGATTATTTACAAGTGTAACATTGGTTAGTTATATGGTTATATTACCGATGATGTTTTGTCTTATTTAAGAAAAGTAGGTTAAGTCAAAACAGTGAATAAAATCACAAAACATTGTTAGGGGCCAGTTTATTGTTATAATATTTAATACTTTTTAATGAAATAAAATAAAGAAAAAAATATTAGTGTATATTTTAAAGGGTGTGTAGCACACTGTTTTAGGATACTAGTGTGTGTGCATATACAGTTGAAGTTAGAATTAATAGCCCCCCTGGATTATTAGCCCACCTGTTTATTTTTCCCCGGTTTCTGTTAAACTGAGAGAAGATTTTTTCAACACATTTCTAAACATAATAGTTTAAAATAATAACTAATTTCTAATAATTGATTTATGTTATTTTTGCCATGATGACAGTACATAATATTTTACTAGATATTTTTCAAGACACTACTATACAGATTTAAGTGACATTTAAAGACTTAACTAGGTTAATTAGGTTCAACTAGGCAGGTTAGGGCAATTAGGCAAGTTATTGTATAACAATGGTTTGTTATGTAGACTATTGAAAAAAAATATAGCTTAAAGGGACTAATAATTCGACCTCAAAATGGTTTTTAAAAAATTAAAAACTGCTTTTATTCTTGCTGAAATAAAACAAATAATATTATCAGACATACTGTGAAAATTTCCTTCTGTTAATCATCATTTGGAAAATATTTAAAAAAGAAAAGAAATTTAAAAGGGTGGCTAATGAAAAATGTGACCCTGACCTGAAAACCATTAAGTTGCATGGGTTCAAACCCTTAAGTTGCATGTCAATACTGCATTATAAAAGTTAAAATGATCATTTTTAATTGAATAAAGATCATTGTCTATGAAAGTATTTTATAAATTTCCTACCATATCAAAATGTAATTTGTGATTTTTAACTTTATTATTTAGAACTATATTTAGCCATCTCTAAAGCCAATTGTCTCAGTATTCAGATTTTGAAAGAGATGCATCACCCTAATAAACCATACACCACTGGAAAACCTTTTGCTGAAACCTTTAATGGGGAATTGGCCATAATTTTGAGGTTATCTTGGATGTTATAAATTTGAAACATTTTGAAACATTATAATGTGAAACAATTCTTTGAATAGCAGAATATCTTTTTATTAAAATACAAAATTATGTACATATAATATAATATTATGATATAAAAGTATATGATACAATCTTAGTCAAATGTTGAAATAAAAGTAAAATACATTTCATTTAAAAAAAAAAGATATATTGAAATGAAAAAATAAAGCAAAAACATATTTACAACAAATATATCATGCTTTCAGTCTTGTTACCAGACTGTTGGTCTGTTCTGAAAGTTGGATATCAGTCATCATCTTCATGACTCACTATTCAGTTCTGTTTCATCAAGAACAAAAAGAGTGAAAATATTAGTGTCTGTTTGTGTGTGTATGTTTGCACTATGTTTCTTTTTTCTATACTTTTTTTTTACTTTTGACTTTTTTCGGAGTGTCATAGATGGGTTCTTGGGCCACGACTGACGGCAGCTCATGTGGAACATATTTAGTTTGACCCCACTGAGCTCCCTGTAAGAACAATGCAGATTAGGAAAACATTGCCTTGCTTTATGAATATATTGAACAGCAACAGCCAGAGCTGGGTAGATGTCATTTGTATTTGGTAATATAATCATGTGAATAATATGGAATAGTGAAATATATAGAAAATAAAAAAAATTGACTATAAGTATTTCAAAACAATTGTTTACTCTAATTACAAGTGCTGTTTGGAATCTGATTGCATCATCCAGATTACATATAATCTGTCACTGCCCAGCTCTCTGCCGCTGCAGTCCATTAAGAATTAAGGTGTGCTCATGCTTGGCAGCTTTGGTACAATTATAAATAAACTATTTTGGTTTGAACTAGTGAAAGAAGTGATCTGAACAAGCAGAAAAATATGGATCTCAGTTCACATGCAACTCTGGTGTATGAACACTACATAGACCAAAGACTTGTCAGCGAACCAAAAACAGAACATGTCACAAAATGCAAGAATAAAATTGACAGTGCGCACCTGTTTTATGTTTGTAATAGTTGCATGTTTGCAAAACATAGTTTAATGGTGTTATAAACATGACATAAAGATGTTTTGTTTTAGAAGTTTGAGGTTTTGACTCCTTTACACATTTAATGAGCTTCTATAAGCTTATGTGTATTGATTTACATGCAACTCCCCTTGCCACCCCATGCAAGATGCTGCCCTAGGTGATTGTTCAAAATGTCTATGTTTAAATCCACCAATGGGACCAATACTAGATTAGATAGAATTGCATATATAATAATAATAATAATGATAGTAATAATAATAATAATAATAATAATAATAATACAAGCTTTGTTTCTTAGGAATTCATATTTGATCGCTTGACTTAAGAATAGCAACACTTCTTTTCATTTGCAAAATAGTATCATCTGTAAAGATTTTAACAGCTTATCTTTTGTACATTTGTAGATCATCATGCACAAAGATGAAATCTTCACTACCATAGTGAAAGTAGCATGTATACTGTTGTTTTTTATGTATACTAAGAAAGAGGTGAAATATAGTATATTGCTTGTAATTATCACCATTTACTCACATCCTGGAGCATCGTTTGATAAGTTCCATTGTAAAATGTGAGCCTGACCTGAAAAACCTTAAGTTGCATGGCTACAAACCCTTAAGTTACATGTCTATACTGCATTATAAAAGTTAAAATGATAATTTTAATTGAATAAAGATCATTCTCTATAAAGGTATTTTATAAGTTTTCTACCATATCAAAATGTAATTTTTGATTTGTAAAACGCACTGCTTAGAACTTTATTTAGCTATTTTCAAAGCCAATTGTCTCAGTATTTAGATTTTTAAATAGATGTATCACCCTAATAAACCATACACCACTGGAAAACCTTTAGCTGAAACCTATAGTGGGAAATTGGCCATATTTTTGAAGTTATCTCATTTGTAAATGCATTTAATTAAATTAAATATGCTACTTGACAAAACAAGAATTCACATAACCTTACCTTCATGTTAAGTAGAAATGTTTATTTAAGGTTTCCACTTTTACACACGTTGATCAGTTTAAGATAAAATTTCTAAACTTAAGTTTTTAATAGAGTTAAAAGTTGATATGACATTTAGAATGTAAGCAGTACAAAAAAAATATTTTTAGAACGAGTAATTAATCTAGTTACAGTACATGTCCCTGTCAAAGGTCAGTGAATTTAAGCTAATTATTGATATTTTACAGTAATATCATTGGTAAAACCTAAAACTATGGTATGGAATCTAATTGCAATTTTCCCAAAAAAGGACAAGCCATTCTCGTAACTTTGTACTTTGTGTGACTGAAATGTAGGCAATGAATGACTAAGGCGAAGGCGAGAAATATCTTTAAAAAAAGGGTAGAAGACTAATAAAAACCCTGAGTTTAGAGAATAAAACCTGCTCCTGACCTGGTTATGTTCACAAGGTACCCCTGTAATTGACTCTGAGTAAAAATTACTTCTCTTTCAGAAACAGGCTTGACTTACTCTGCTTTCTCGAGTTTGACAAACCTGCCATTTTGAAACGGAAAACCCAGAATTTTTCTAATTTTTAGGGTTAACATAGTTTTCACCTAACCTTCTTTCTGAAACGAGTCCAAGATTAAATATAGAATTTTATTTATTTTTTTCTGGATCAAACACACTAAAGAAAACCAAAGTAAAAAAGGTGGAAGAAGTGCAGTGAGCACGTCTTGTTACAGTAACTAACAATTTATCCCATTACAACAACAAGAAGCAAGTTTCTAAAATTAGCAAATCAGTTTGTATCCAAATAACCAGAAGTTAATAAGCTTTTTGTTTAATTTAATGAGTATAACTGCATTTTTAAATCTACTAATTAAAATTATTAGGATTAACTTCAGTCAGTCAGTTGGGAGCTAAAATAAAAACATTCTTAAGAAAATTTGTCAAACTTTGCATTGGGCAATAACTAAAAAATACAGATATCATTTAAGATTATAAAACCTGTAATACCAGTTGGTGACATAACGCAGATCTATTTTTAGCAGACAGCCCCCTTCCCTTCCATGTGCCAACATACTGTACCTGCTCATTGTCTTTTTCCGATTGCGGAGGTTCGCTGATGCTTCTCATTGACCCAAATGTCTGTTTGATAGATGTTTATTTCAGATCATTCAATTGGAAGATAATATGTTGCTCATATGCACACATATAACAAAATGCATGAGACATAGTTATTTTCTGAGACAAAAATATTAAGTGTTACCTTGGGATCCAGCAATTTGTGTGGACGAAAATTTAAAATGGCAAATAAAGCGTTGAACCATTTCTCCATCTCCCAGCTGCACACACACATACAACATTATCAAACCAAATTTTTATAATCATATTTAAAACATATGCAACTATTGTTGTGTAGATAACATATTTATAACAGTTTTAAAGTGTTGTGCTCAATATATAAAGTAAAAAAGGAGCAACAATAAATCACTGTCATAAACAAAGCTCATAAATCAGGACAAACCTGTTTTCTCCAACGAGGAAGTATTCTCGTTCTGGGACTCGCATAAACATTACACTTGAAGGTGAACATCTGAAGTTTTCATGAATCCATTTCCACATTGCATGCATCTCGGGGCTCAAAAACATAAATGTGACCCTAAAAGACAGACAGAAAAACAGACATTCTTCCTTTAGGCTATTGTACAAGAGACATTTGTTAAGGTGGCCTGAGCAGATAAGATTGTTGCTAGCATGTAGGGGTTGACAGACCAGTTTTTTTTAGGGTTTAATGATCTGATAAAGTAAGCTGGACGAGTTACTGTGTGTGAAGTGTGTAACTGTTGATCATACTTGGATAAGTCAATGTTTCCCAGTGACTTGTTTTTCTCTTCATTTTTGTAGTAATTAAGCAGGCATCTGTCATTACTGTACTTTAGGAGAACAAAATACCTCCGTTTCCATGATTTCTGCAAAAATATAAAGAAACAAATACAGTATAACAGAAAAAAAAATGTATGTGGTTTACTGAAATATTCTACTTTTCTGATCTTGGAATAAAATAAAATTGGAGAACATTTATTTTCTTAGAAAATCCTGTTTCAGATTAACGTTGTTTCTTTCTTTTTGTTTGAGAAATTTATGTGCCCTAATCTTACCTGGTTCTTCAGGTGTTTTTCTGGGGGAGATTTGTAAAGGTATCCAGAACACAGTTGCTCCTCAGCTCCATGTATGTAATAAGTATAATTTTTATCTGCAGATATAAAAAATCTGTTTAATCTAGTTAGACATTAACAATCAGCTTAAAAGAAAAAGGTAATTCCTTTGTGTTTTTGAAAAGACAACATTGTAAAAAAGATACCCTTTCAGACTAAAAACAACTAAAAATGCTGTATTATGCATGCCAGGCCAGTAGATGGCGAATTCACTTTGTTAAAACAAACAAACAAAAATCTATGCACATGCACTGTTGTTTTATTTACCAATAGACCAAATATGCAAAAGAGAAATAATTAATTTTGCAAGGCAAGGCAAGTTTATTTATATAGCACATTTCATACACAGTGGCAATTCAAAGTGCTTTACATAAACAAGAATAAAAGAAACAAGTAAAATAAAAACAAATAATAAAAATGAGTAAAAAAAACACAAAACAGGTAAAATGTGATATAAAAGAATGAAGAAGAAGAGAAAAACATAATAGTGCAATCTGTCGGACGTAGCACAGTGTTCATTCAGTAAAGACACAGCTAAACAGATGTGTTTTCAGTCTTGATTTGAACATGCCTAATGTTGGAGCACATCTGATCATTTCTGGAAGCTGATTCCAGCAGCGAGGGGCATAGTGGCTGAAAGCTGATTCACCCTGCTTTTTCTGTTGGGTTTGTATTCAGTGAGCATATCTGTAATGTATTTAGGTCCTAGGCCATTTAGTGATTTATAGACCAGTAATAATACTTTAAAATCTATTCTGAATGTAACTGGCAGCCAGTGTAAAGACCTGAGGACAGGTGTGATGTGCTCAGATTTTCTGGTTCTGGTCAGAATTCTGGCTGCAGCGTTCTGGATGAGCTGCAACTGTCTGACTGTCTTTTTAGAAAGACCAGTGAGGAGTCCATTATAGTAATCCACTCTGCTGCTAATAAAAGTATGAACAAGTTTTTCTAAATCTTCACTAGAAACAAAGCATCTGATTCTTGCTATGTTTTTGAGATGATAGTATGCTGATTTACTAACTGCTTTGAGATGACTATTGAAACTCAGATCTGACTCCAGAGTCACACCAAGATTCTTGACTTTATTTTTTGTTGTTTGACCCTTAAAGCCAAGGTACGCATTTACCTTGAGAACCTCATCTCTGTTCCCAAACGCAATGACTTCAGTTTTCTCTTTGTTTAACTGAAGAAAGTTTTGGCACATCAAATTGTTCATTTCATCAATGCACTGGCAGAGGGTGTCAATGGGGCTGTAGTCATTAGGCAGTAAGGCTAAGTATTTCTGAGTGTCATCAGCATAGCTGTGGTAGGAGATTTGGTTCTTTCTCATTATTTGGCTCAAAGGGAGCATGTAAAGGTTGAACAGGAGAGGTGCCAGAATGGAGCCTTGTGGGACTCCACATGTCATTGGTGTCCACCTCGACCTATGGTCACCTATACTTACATGGTAACCTCTACCTTCAAGGTAAGATCTAAACCATTTGAGGACCATGCCAGACAGCCCAACCCAGTTTTCCAGCCTATCCAGAAGTATGCTGTGATCGACATTTATATTGTAGTTTCACTTGGACTATATTGATATTGCAAATTTTGAAAACATTCCCATTGAAACCCATTTTCAAATGTTTGCATTTTCCTCAGTGGCCAAAATGCATTTCGTGAGTTTACAAGATATTTGATTGAATGGAATAGGCGTGTTTGGCTGTTCTGCGAAAGGGTTAGGAGAGAGAGAGAAAGATAGTAGTCCAAACACAATGTCTAGCCATACCTCAAAGCGCTACCCCCTCTCTTATTTAAGTAGGAATCTGGTGGAGGGATGCTGAAATTTGAGGTAGGACTAACATGTTCTTGAACATGAACTTTTTGAAATAGTGGCTAATTCATATAAACTCGTACAATCTCATTGATACAATTTAGTATGATTTGCTCATTCCCCAATTACTGTTGTGTTTAAGGGCGAGGTTGGGTGCTACGCCTCCTTTTTTCAAAATCATACATTTTCGTATGACTGAACTCGTATGAAATAGCCACTAAACCGACCAAACGTAAAATGGTTACGTTTCCTTGTGAGATCAGCCTGGGTAGGACATGCTACACTATTAATAGGTTTTTGGTTTTATGCTGATAAATGAATAATGAATTGACCTTGCCAAAACATCTGCGCATGCTACTCCTGAATTCCCTTTATGAAACATCACAAAATGTTTTTCTTGATTAGTTGAAAATGTCTTGTTAATGGTACATATTTCACGGCTGTCTTAATCCATTCTAATTAGTCAGTCGCAATGCTATCTTAGGCAATTCGTAACTTTTTGATTTAGTGGCTACTAGGATGAATTCTTACAGTTTCATTTGTTCAATTTAGTAAGATTTGCTCATCCATCACGGGTGGATTTAGGGGTGGGCTTTGCGGCTGATTTCACGTTTCCTCGTGAAATCAGGCTTCATATTCCGAGGTATGTTATTCTGAAATAACAACCGCTTAAATAACACAGGCTCATCCAGGAACTCATCCATATGTCTACATCTACATTGTATATGCCTGTCTGTCACACTGCAATCTTTTAAGTGTTAGGCGCCATCTTGTGAATTAATAAAATGTACTGTAGGCAATACTTAATTTGTAAAATGCAAGGTCCCGGGAACAGATCAGGATAACAGATCCAGCATGTTCAGGAAGCAGAAATGTCGTGGACTATCGAAAAAAGGGGGGTGGGTTGTTGAGTCATGAACTAAATTAAAGGGGGTGGGGGCGTCGTAGGGGTAGGTGTTGTGGACTAAAGTCAAGAGTGGATGGTGGGGGCTGGTGGTCGTGGACGCAAGTAAAAACGAGGGGTGTCACGGGGGAGTCACGGATGAATTTACAAATTAAGCCCTGACTGTAGGTTAGTAGATGCTTCATTGAGATGGTTTTGTTTCATGCTAGTTTTGTGTTTTTGACTGTTTGGTGCGTCTTGTGACTAAACAATGCCCAGGTTATTGTATGCTTCATTAGCTGTTGTTTCTGTCAGTTTTGCCTTTAATTCAAGAATTAATAAGCTATTATGGCTCAGAACAATGTTTTGTGTCTGATCTTTATGTTTTCTGGCATAGTTGCTGTGCAATTAGCAGAATAACGTAGGGGACAGTTGGTTTCGCTGAATAATTAGACTTTATTCTGCGATAACAACCTCCTGAATGTACTTTATCCCCAAAGCTAGCCTATAACCAACCCATTTTACCTTCAGTCTTTTTGCTCTCAGACATTCACAAAAAAACATACCTGCCATTTTACAGCTTTGGTGCACAATGGAATGCTTTCAGTGACCTGAGAACAGAACAAGATGTTGTTGCAGTACGTTTTGCATATTCAGCATGATGAATTATTACAAGTGCCAAAGGCTTGAAACTCAAGATGTTTTTTTAAAAAAAGTACAATTAAAGCTGATGTCTGTAAAGCATGTTCCTCAAGGCTCATCCACATGGCCTAAAACTACAACATGAGGTGTGACACCATGACCCTCAGTACACACACACACACACACACACACACACACACACACACACACACACACACACACACACAGTAGTGCAATCTGTGTTTGCACTTGAACGTTTTTTAATGTATTTTAGCAGCCAAGAAAAACAAATTTTGTTTTAGATGCCATAGGAGATGCCATTTTGAGCAACATAAACAAGGACAATACAAATACAAGGATAATACAACAATAAAGCTATTCCCAGAGCGCCAACACACCTAAAAACATCTATTTTTTAAATTATTCATGCAAAGAGTATAGGAATAAATCACTCTAATATTGACTCATGATCTAAACTATCATCGATGCTGCTATTAGGTTAAATCACTTTTTTTTAACAGCTTTATATTCACTTCTACAGCAATCAGAATTACTCAGATATTTCAGAAAGTATGAATGTAATATTAAGCAAAAAAAGTGTCTCTACCTGATATACAGTAGATGCTTCTTGTCTGTGAGAACAGAAAATGTGGTAAAAATAATATGAGGAAGTTGACAACAAAGGTGAAAAACCTTATAAGTGATGTCACAAGGAAGGCGGTGATTTGAGACATGCTTATGCACTTGAACAAGAAAAACAAGTCAAGTACTTGCCTAGTTAAAACTAGCTTTGTGTACTTATTATTCATATAAAGTTAGACTATATTATCCCTGTAGTATACAGAATTGGAAGGGATTTGATGTTTTTAACAGACACTGCAGTCTTTTCGCTAAACTCAACTCCTCCTGTCTGCCATTTCTTGTAAAGATTGATAACTCCACCCTGAACTCACGCTATTGGCTGAGACGGTTCATGCACTGTAAAAAGTGATTAGTTACTTAAAACGAGTAAACCAATTGCCTTAAAAGAAACAAGTTGACTTTACAAAAATAGTGGATGTTGCTATGTTAATGTGTGGAGTTATTGGGATTCTCAAAGAAGCAGAGCATTGCTTTAATAGAGTTGACAACCAAAGAAAGTGTTTTACTGTAAATTTTACAAAAGAAATCTAGGTATTTGAATTCTCACACAAATTGGGTACCCTTTTTTAACAATTGCTACTACTGCTTTAACAACCACAACCAATACTACTACAACTACCTTATTTTTTATTTGAAAATGCATTACCTATTACATTAGCATTATTCTGTTCCTAAACACTTAACACATAATATATTAACATACACTTACCGGCCACTTTAATAGGTACACCTTACTAGTACCCGTTTGGACCCACTTTTGCCTTCAGAACTGCCTTAATCTTCAGTGGCAAAGGTTCAACAAGGTACTAGAAATATTGCTCAAAGATTTTTGCCCATATTGACATGATAGCATCAAACAGTTGCTGCAGATTTGTCAGCTGCACATCCATGATCCGTAATCTCCCGTTCCACCACATCCCAAAGGTGCTCTATTGGATTGAGATCTGGTGACTCTGGAGGACATTTGAGTACAGTGAACTCATTGTCATGTTCAAGAAACCAGTCTGAGATGATTTGTGCTTTATGACATGGTGCGTTATCTTGCTGGAAGTAGCCATCAGAAGGTACACTGTGGTCATAAAGGGATTGACACGATGCTCAGTTGCCACTAATGAGCCCAAAGTGTACCAAGAAAATATCGTTAATACAAGGCAGGCTGGATCCATGCTTACATGTTGTTGACACCAAATTCTGACCCTACTATCCGAATGTCGCAGCAGAAATCGAGACCCATCAGACCAGGCAACATTTTTCCAATCCTCTTTTGTCCTTTTTTGGTGAGCCTGTGCGAATTGTAGCCTCAGTTTCCTGTTCTTAGCTGAAAGGAGTGACACCCGGTCTGGTCTTCTGTTACTGTAGCCCATCTGCCTCAAGGACGTGTTATGTGTTCAGAGATGCTCTTCTGTAATCTTCAGTTGTAACGAGTGGTTATATGAGTTACTGGTATCTCTGGCATCAAGGCATTTGCGCCCACAGAACTGCCGCTCACTGGATACTGTAAACCCTAGAGATGGTTGTGCAAGAAAATCCAAGTAATTCAGCAGTTTTTGAAATGCTTAGGTCAGCCCATCTGGCACCAACAACTGTCACCTTCAATATCACTTAAATCACCTTTCTTCCCCATTTTGATGCTCGATTTGAACTGCTGCAGATCGTCTTGACCATTTATACATACCTAAATGCATTGAGTTGCTGCCATGTGATTGGCTGATTAGAAATTTGCATTAATAAACAAATGGACAGGTGAACCTAATGGCCGGTGAGTGTATAGTACTGCGTAATATATGCTTATATATGCGTTATATATGCTAATTTTAATTTAAACAACTGTTCATACATTCTACATCAACACAATCTCATGGCAATTTGTAAATTTGTAATTTAGCAGCAATCTTATTCATATAAATTCATATTTACTTTTGCAATTATTATGAATTTGGACATACTACTGTATTAATACTAAACTTCACATTTTGGTCATTAAGTGAACTGCAACTATAGTTTATTTTGTTGCTTATGGTCACTCTCTTGCACAGATAATGTACATAAGCCTCAAAGTAATTTTTTGCTTTTTGCTTGGAAAAATCTTGAAAAGCTCTTATATACAGCAGAGATATGCTGAAAATGATCATACAAAGAGGAACATTTAGTTAAATAAATAAAAAATCATTATAACTATCTATAATAAAAAGACTTTATTAAGGTAATTAAAGCCTTTGTTTGATGTCGATATTTGCACAAGCTCCAAATTCATGACATGAGGTCATCAGATTATTAAAATTACACTGTGATAATTTATAAAATATATATTATGAATCTCTCAATAGTTATTCAGCAACCCTCTGCCCTTCATCATTGTTAATAAATATTAGCTGCTTCAGTAAAATATCTACATTAGCTGAACATGAGGAAGATGAAACTGGGTTGGACATTTCAGCAGGACAATGATCCAAAACAGAGCTAAGGAAACTCTCAAATGCTTTCAGAGAAAGAAAATCAAGCTGTAGAATGGCCCAGCCAATCACCTGACTTGAATCCAATATAGAATAGAAAATAAAGATCAGATTTGATAGACAAGACCCACAGAACCGTCAGCATTTTTACACTCTGAAGACTGTGATAAAATCACACATTTTTTGACTTCATTGAGTGACTTAATTCTCATTATGAGAGGCTTCTTTAAGCTGCCATCACCAAAAAGTCTTTTGTATCGAGTATTAAATACATTTTAGTAGTTTAGTACTTTCTCATTGTGTCATCCCAATGTTATTAAACGTAAAAAAAAAAAAATCTGATTTGTTTTTCTTTTGGTTTATTTTAATATTTGTAATGTTTGGGGTTTTCACCTAAATTTGGTTCAATTTCAGCTCTAGTATATCATTCACAGGAAAAAACATGGCATGCTCAATATTTATTTTCGCACTGTAGATCTGACAATATGAGACTTTGAATTTAAAGTAGTAGTTCACCCAAAAAATGAACATGCTATGATTTACTCATCCTCCAATTGTTCCCACAAATGGATATATAAGGAAAAATGAAAACCAGTATTTTTTGTTCCAAGCATGAACGACAATGGCTGTTTTTTCAACATTCTTCAGAATATCTTTTGTGTTTTACCAAAAAAAGTTTGGAATTAGAGTGTGCATAAATTAGTTTGGTATCCCTTTAATAATAATTGCATGGCACATAGACATGACAGAACAGCTCTTTCTACATTTTTAATATTGTAAAAGTATTAGTTTCATTTGTCGTAGAATGGATTAAACCCAAAATATCATTTTAGAGTTTTTGGCAAAATGTCAAATTTGGCAAAAATCACCAATAACCGGGTTTTGTAACAAGTTTTTAATATTATGTTAATATAAAAGCAATTAACATGTGAATAATCAATTGTTGTTTACAAAATTCATGTTGCCACATTTTGTCCTAAAATGCTTAGCAAAAAGTGTGTTCTCATTTGCAACGTTTCAGAAAAAATGTACTAGGCTGTTTTGAAAAAAAATATAGGGTTCAGGAAGAATATACTGGAAATAAAAACTTTTTAGGAAATTATTGTAAAGTATCGGCTATATTTCAAAACTAAGAAGACTTATCAAAAACCTAGATGTTAGATTAAAGTCAGTTTCACACATCTAAGAAAGTACAGCTTCATCATGTTTTGAGGATTAATGCAATCATGGAAACCAGTCAGACGTCTATCTTTTAGATTCCAGAAGTCAGCCCCAAAGAAACTTGGCAACAACCTTATATTTGCTGAGTGTAAAAAACCCTGCCCTAATTTCCAGACAGGTTAAACTCTTGTGTATCAATCAAAGAGACACACTGCTGGCTCACGTCAGTTTCCACACATGTCTGCTCCTCCAATGGCGTGAGGCTGAATACACCATTGTTCACTGGCGCTGTGATAGGAAGTTGCCTGTGATGTATCCATGTGTTGTAAGAATATAGAAAGACAGCTGCAGGTGCTTTGGCACAGGCATCAATCCAAGCGTTTCTGCTCACACGCCATTCACAGAATCTGTATCAGTCATTACAGGGCTAACAGGGTCAGGGCTAAAGCCTATAATTGGGTGCAACCTGCTCCATAAGTGTTTCTGAACTATTTGGAATTTGGCCCAGTTGCAACAAGCAAACAGCAGCATTTAATTAAAGGTGTAGTTCACCCCAAATTAAAATGTACTCACTACACTGTAAAAATACTGGGTTCCACACAGTTGGTTTGTGCTGCAACAACATGAAGGAATTAGGTTAAATTTAAGTAGATTAAATATAAAACAATTAAGTTGACCCCCCCCCCCCCCCCCACACTGTTTTGTCTATTTAATAACCCTTCAAACCTTTATAAGTTTCTCTTTTCCTGTTGAACACAAAAGTAGATGTTGAAAACATTTAGGAACCTGTAACCATTCACTATCATGGTAGCTAAAACAAACATAGTAGAAGTCAATGGTTACAGGTTTTCAGCATTTTTCAAAATAATTGATTTTTTGTTTAACAGAAGAAACTTGGTAACCCTTTATTTTGATGTTTCATTTGAGTATTAGTAGACTGTCTGCTTAATATCTGTGAGACTGCTCCTTTAAGAGACATTTAACTGACTATAAGAAACTTTGCAAGTACATGTCAACTTACAGTAACCCCTAATCTAACAGTCTACTTATAATCTAATGAGAATTAGTTGACATGTAACTTAAATTTAATGGACCATTAAAATAAAGTGTGACCAGAAACTCGAACAGGCTTATGACAAGTAAGTTTTGAGTGCACTATCCCTTTAAAAGTCAAAATGTTAGATGTTTCATATCAGAGTGTGATATAAATAGAGGCTTTGTTTGGCTTGAAGTGCCTCTTCTCTTCTCTTTTGAGGGCAACATGTGCACAGACAAGCAAACCCAGTTCTGCTCCTTTAGTCCTTCAGCCAGATTTACGGACCTCAACGCAAATACTTCCCAGGGCACAGGAACAACAGATGGACCGACACCCCTCCTCCATCCTTGGCATCCCAAACGTACCGTATAAAGCTCAAAGTTTAGTACTTGGGCTAGTCATTCACAGGGGATAATAAGACTGGAAGGAAAACAAAACCATTAAAATAAGTGAAGAACTTGAGCTCTCAATGATGAAGACACACACCAAGGTAAAGTTTGAGCAAATTCATATGCATAACAAAATCAGCATATAGAGTGTTTTGGACTTGATTTCAGTTATCATATTCAAGGACACTCCAACAAAACATGAGGAGGACCTGAGGAGACAAAGAGACATTTTGGCTTTCCGAATGAAGAAGCTGTCATCAAAACAATCCGATTTCAATGTAAGTCAGTGAAACAAGCATTAACATATGAGAAATACAATCTTGTTTGAGTATCTTTGATTTATTTCCACAGAGCAAGACGGCAGCTCTAAAAGAGAAGATTAAGAAGAAGTATGATGACATGAAGAGGGTTTTGGACGAGGATCTGAGAATTACATTTAGTCAGTTGGATATTGAGAGCGAGGCCATGGAGAGAACGCTTGAAGATGGCATTGAGAATTGTTACCGCCTCACGCAGGAAATTGATCAGCAGCTTGCTGAACTCACGGCACAGATGGAGGAAGACGAGTGTCAGGGGCAAGAGAAGGTGCACTTTCTGTACAGAATGCTGTCTTGTAATAGCCGTAGTTTTCATATTTTGTAATGTGCAGGTGTTGTTCATTTATTTGCGAATGTGGATTGCATTATAGGACCTTGATCTCTGCTCTGTTGACATTTAATGTTGTAAATCAGCTGTGCAGTTTAGCAAAGTGACTTTTTTTGACATTTTAGTAGTTTGAAAAAATATAGCGTATAAGAAATACTAGATGTCACGTTAGTCCAGTGGGTAGCACTATTGCCTCACAGCAAGAAGGTCACTAGTTCGAATCCCGGCTGGGTCATTTGGCATTTCTGTGTAGAGTTTACATGTTCTTCCAGTTTTTGCGTAATCTAGTCCAAAGACATGCGCTATAGGTGAATTTAAAAAAAGCTAAATTATCCGTAGTGTATGTGTATGAATGCAAGTGTGTATGTATGTTTCCCAGTGTTGGGTTGCGGCTGGAAGGGCATCCGCCCTTCTATAAAACATATGCTGGATAAGTTGGCGGGTCATTCCGCTGTGGCGACCCCTGATTAATAAAGGGACTAAGCCCAAAAGAAATGAATGAATAAGAGAAATAAGTCTGTAAAATAACTGAAAATGTATACTGGCAGTTTTGTAGCGTAATATACACCAACCCAGGCGAAATATCACTTAAAACTATTAAAATTATTAATAAAAGTCACTTTTTAAACTTTTAAAACTTTATAGAAACAAGGAAATATGAAAACATGAATCGCAAAATATGAAAAACTGCTAATTTAGTAACATTTTTACAGTGTAGGTAGTAAATAAATGCTTTTTATTCCAATTGATGTCCAAATGTAATTTTACATATATCAAGAAAGCAACTGCGCTTTAACATCTGGAAGATCTTTAAAATAATATTATTCAGCATTTTTGGTAAACTTATATTCATGAAGAAAACATGGGAAAAATGTATAGTCAGCTGAAATATTAAGTAAATTTATAATCATAAAAATATTAATCAGCTCGATCCATTTTAACATGGGTAATTATGAGAAATGTACATCAAATTACCAAATGCAGCTTTTATTAAGTTTATTTGTTTAACATAGAGTGTATATATATTTTTTTTAAAACATAGTATATTTTTTAAAACATAGGATATTTTTAAAACATAGTATATTTTTTAAAACATAGGATATTTTTAAAACAGAGTATATATAAAATTTTGAAAAACATATATATATATATATAGAAAGAGAGAGAGAGAGAGAGAGAGAAAGTGTTGGGTCAGTTTTTTTAAAGAAAATTATTCTGTTCTATCAAGGCAGAATTTATTTAATGTAAAAAATTGTTAAATACTTATTTATTAAATTGTATGTAGTTTAAAATGAAATTATTACTCAAGTCATTCATTTATTTATTTTCTTTTCGGCTTAGTCCCTTATTAAGTCCCTCGCCACAGAGGAATGAACCGCCAACTTATCCAGCATATGTTTTACTCAGCGGATGCCCTTTCAGCTGCAATCCATCACTCGGAAACACCCATACACTCTCATTCACACACATACTATACGGCCCCAAATCACCTATAGCGCAAAACCAAACCAGCAACTTTCCTGCTGTGAGGGGACAGCGCTACTCACTGCGCCACCGAGTGGCCCTACTCAAGTCATTATTGCTTTTATGACTATTATCATTATTATTAATAATAATAATAATAGTGATAATAGAGTGATTTCTGAAGCATTATGTGGCTGAAGTTGGAAATAAATCGTTGGAATAAATCAACAAATTAAATGATAAACTGCTTTTAAACAGTTATTTAATAGCGCAACAACATTTCACAATTTTACAATTTGTACTGTATTTTTGATTAATTAAATGCAGTCTTGATGAGCAGGATAAGCTTATTTTAAAATACTTAAAAACCCTACTGATCCCAAACTTCTGACCGGTAGTGCATATTTCCACCGCTTTTCACAATAATTATTGTTTCAAAGCAGCTTTACAAAAGGTGCACATTATTGCATTACAATAAAAATTGTTATTGTTACAATAACATTATTAGTTGCTAATAACAAATTAGCTAGTAATTACTTTCAACAGTTAAAGTTAATATATGTAAGCATAGTTAACCTGCAGTTATATTGTAAACAGATGATGTCATTGTGTACATGTTTTCATTGTATGTAAGTGTTATCAAGTTTTGTGCAATTGGTCATTAATTTGACAGTCATCGCCTTTTCTGTCTTAATTTTTCCTTTTCTTTTTGTATCATTGTTTTTTTTTTATATAGATGTCTGAGATGAAAGAAAGGTAAGTAGAGTTGCACTTTTGGGAATTTTACATGTACGTGAATGCAACCACACCAAGTTTACTGGAACAGTTTGTTTGTTTGTTTGTATTTCGCCTTCATGACGCAGGATTTCCAGTGGCATGAATGAATAGCTCTTAAACTACCAAACTTCAAGCATGCAGTCTGATTTGTGCACCACGTTACTTCCCGCTTGTGTGGCGAAAGCATTTTTCTTCACCTATTCTTCCTTGTTTAAAGGATAGCGGAGACTTTGAAGAAGACCGATCCTGAATTAATACAGCTGGATGAGTTTAAAAACGAACAGCTGCTCGGGTTAACCATCAACCTGCTGCTGTTCATTCGCTCTCAAGTTCCTGTCACTAAGAAACTCTTCCAAAGTTGTAAGGATCTTTACATTTTCCCATAACACTTGCTCTTTTTTTTAACACCTAAAGCAAGTTCAATGATGTTTTTATCGCTACACATGCAAAACCTGTCCAGTCCTTTAGAAAAAATTTTCTAAATATAGTCTAATTTCACATTGCTTTTGGCAATTTTCAGACGCCCAAGAAGTCATTCTGGATCCTAATTCCGCTCACCCAAAGCTGATTATTTCCCCTGAGGGTGACTCTGTCACTTACACTGATACCTGGCAGGAGGTTTCGGAAAACCCCGCTCGATTTGACACCACCTTGAATGTGATAAGCCGACAGGGCTTCACGGAAGTTCGCAGCTACTGGGAGGTGGAAGTCACCGGTAAAACATACTGGGAATTAGGCCTCACATACCCTGACATCCCCAGAAAGGGCCGTGAGGAGGACTGCTGGTTGGGCCGGGGTCCTTCATCATGGTGTATTGAGTATTTTAATGACATCTACACAGCCTGGCACAATGGCGTTCCCCATTTGCTGACTGATGTCGGTGGAAGATGCTTTAAACGCATTGGCATTTTCTCCAGCACAGAGGGAGGGTTGGTTTGTTTCTTGGGGGCTGACACCATGACGCCGCTATACAGTTTTTGCGCTGGCACCTTCACAGACTTACTGTTCCAGGCTTTGTGTCCTGGGCATGACAACCAGGGGACAAATGGGAAACCACTGCTGATTTGTGATCCATCGAAATCTGCACCAATCTTGTGATAGACAGATGATGTGGGCTGGGGTTGTTAAATGTAGCTGAGGTTTATAAAACATCATTGGGAAATGTGTTGAGTCTCTGCTTTAATTGTGAATCGAGCTCTGTGGCTTTATTATTGGTTAGTGATTTGATAGTTGTCATAAAAAACACTGCAGAATTTAATTAGAGAAGCATTTAGGATCAAAATTAGTCTATAGAGGACCACATTTTGGCCTGCTTTGAATGAAATAAATTCACATTTAATTTTAGTTTATTTGCATTTATTTTAAATATACAGTTATTGACCCTCCTGAATTATTATCTCTGTATGTTTGTTTCCCCCAATTTCTGTTTAACAGAAATATATTTTTAACACATTTCTAAAGATAATAGTTTTTAAAAAATACTCATTTTTAATGACTAATTTCTTTTATCTTTGCCATGATGACAGTACATAATATTTTACTAGAACAATTTCCAGATACCAGCATTCAGCTTAAAGTGATATTTAAAGGCTTAACTAGGTTATTAAGGCAAGTCTTTGTATAACGATGGTTTGTTCTGTAGACAGTCAAAAATAATAATAGTAACCTTAAATAATAATAATAATTTACAGTGTTTATACAGTAACCATATACAGTGCTCAGCATAATTACACCCCATTTTGTAAATGAGTATTTTTATCTATTGCTCAGCGAATGTGGGTAATATATGGTGCATTTGAACAAAACAGATTTATTAAACATATATATTAATTTAAATTACATTTTAGCCACAAAACATCTTTAGTAATGGTTAGATAATGTATTTAAATTCATGCAAAAAAAAAAAAAAAATACAAACTACAGCATTTCTACTGAATGTTATATATTGTTGTTTCTCTTGATTTTTGCTATTTTTGAAAATGTATTTATTATTTTCCCTTAACATCTAAATTTGGGCTACTAATTTTTGAACCATTATTGTAAGTTATTTTGTTAGATAAGCTCCAGATTTGGCTTCAGTACTGACTAATCTAATGTATATGCACAAAAATAATATTGTAAAGCTTCCTATAGAAAATATTAATTTAAATGAGATATTTGTGGGGGGTGTACTTATATATGCTGTGCGCTGTATTTATTTAAAGCTGTGAAAAAGGAGACAACTTGGACATTCTCACTTTTTACTAGATTTTTAAAATCGTACCTAGATTAGCTATGTTCTGATAACATCCCCCCCCCCCCCAAATTTAAACTAAAATTTAATTATTTAGATATTTTCTTAAAGAAAATGACAATTACTTAAAATAAAAATGTTTTATTGTTCAGGATTATTCTGCAAAATATTGATTTATTATCTGAAAGCTTGGCGTATTGTCTAAAATGCTCAAAATGACAACATTTTTTGTTTTACATTTGTTAGAAACATTCTCACTTCACCAAAATCTGTCTGTCTATCTATTATATTAAATAGATAGTATATATTAAATAAATGAATAAATAAATGTATAAATTCAGAAGTAATGGATTAAATTAATTACATCTCACAAATGTCTAATTCAAATTACACACAAGATTTCTAATTAAAATACATGGTGTATATTATATACTATGTATTTATGAGTCCTTAAACTAAATTCCACAATAATTTCCACAAAAATATTAAGCTGGCACAATGTCTGTCAAGCCATCAATCAACATGTTAGAATAATTTCTGAAGGATTATCTAACCCTGAAACCTGGATTAATGATGCTGAAAAGTCTATTTAATTTGGCTCAATAAATAAAATATAAAAAATCTGAAAATAAAAATCACTTAAGTTTTAATATTTCCTAGCATAAGTGGCTTTACTGTTTTGATTTTAATATTATTTTTAATATTTCAAAATAACAACCCCAAACCTTTGGAACAGTTAAAAATAACTACTTAAAAAACACACACAAACAAGTTCAATAAAACCTTTTAATACAATAAAATTGGTCTTACAAAAGCATTCATTTGAAGTCATATAAACAAAAAGCCCCACTTTATACAATGTAATAGTGACACATTGTAAACAAAAAATGTCAAGGCACTTGTTCCAAAAAATATTAAATATTTTTGCATTTCTATAAACATTACTATCGTCACTGTAAAGCAGATCAATTTAAAACGGTATTTTATCAAATAAAAAGTAAAGAAAGTCTTTCAAAGCAAGTGGATCTACATCTTTAGATATAGTTGGAGCACATCATGCATAAAACAAATCTAGTGGCAGTCATTTGGTGCACAGGCTGGCAGATTTAGTGTGTGATCTGGATGAACAATCAATAAGTGAGAATGAAAAATACAGAAAGAACCGAAAGAAAAGGAAAACCCATTGGACAACAAGCTCTGAAAACATCAAATCCTACCGTAAAGGTTGAAACCGCACATTACTGTAGGTCAGATTGATGATATATGGTAAAAATGCTCACCGGTTATGTAATAGCTGCCTTTGTAGATCATAGACGGATTCAGCACTAAACATAAGACTGCATGAACAGGCTATATGCATGCAGATGTAAATTAGTTTTTTTCTTTAGTTTACTCAGACTGAATAGCTTTTAACACAGGCAGGTGTCAGCATTACTTCACTATTTGCCACTCCATTTCCATTCATGTCCTTTCTTTGACCCCCTTTGGAAGGGCGTTCTGGAAGAACCAAACAAAACCAAACTAAAATGGCCATTTATGCTTGAAGTGTTTTTCCTTTTATAGATATTATCATAAAAAAGTACAACAGCAAAAGATTTGTGTGCTATTTCTTTTTTAAAAACTCTTACAGTATATAATTTTTTATGAGGTCTATAAAGGCTTTTATTTAGTAAGGTAAAAGTGCCAGCAAACTTTTAAATTTGGCAAAGCAACATTGATATTTGACACCGCCAGCTGACAAAGAGCAAATAATATATGCGACATCTGCGTTTTCTGGAATACTATGAACATGTACTGAGAAGGTAGTGAACTTAAACAGTGAGTAGCACAGAGGTGCCTGTATGCCCAGCATAACAACAAAAAACTGCTTTCAAACACACACACACACACACACACACACACAAACTTCCAGCTGGGGATCATTCCCTGAATGTTGAATGTCGAGTCGTTCGGTCAGTCGTTGTGCACTTGATGAGTTTCTCCTTGCCTGCCATCCTGTAATGCGCACCGCTTCAAAACGCTGCTTACATTTATGTAAAAAGATTAAGCTCAAGTATATTCGACTGAGGTTACCCTCATTATGGCGGATCAGTGACAAAAAATGATAACGGTTGGGTTAATATTTACTGTTAAAACAGAACAAATGAAAAATGTGCTACTGCAAAGTTCTGCTGTGTAGTGGGAAAAAGCAGACAGGGCTCAGGGTGCAAAGGTGGTCAACTCGGTTCAGTTGAAGTAGAGCTCTTTAGTCAACATGGACACCACACAGGGTATCTGTTTCTTCTCGCTGAAACGAGGGTCTTCCGACCAGGACTCGAAACTGGTGGCCACCATGTAGTTGACCCTCGTGAGGATCTGCATGATCTCTAGTTGCTTGCCGAACTCACTGAGAACATTGCAGAGGGCCTGGACAAACCAGGAGCCTCGACCTGGATTCCTCCACGAGTAGTAACCTGTCAAAACGTGTGTTACACTGTTAGTTTACTTCATGATTTGTTGAACTTCATTCCTGTGAGTCTCCCGTATCTCCCACCACCCTCCCGTTTTGTTATTTTTCTCAGAAAACTCCCATAATTGCACCCCTCTTCCCCAAAATCCCCCTGGTTCTCTTTTTTTTTTTTGGTTCAGTCACAACCCTAATTCGTTTAATGCAAAGGTAGTTCCAGTCAGTTTTTTTTTATCAGTTAGAAATAAACATGGATCCCTCAAACAATAGAAGTAACCATAGTAAATCAGTGACACTAGCTTCTTTCCTCATCATGCTGTCATCTCGAAGACAGCAAAGTCCACCAGGGAACCTCCAAAAGTTTTGCGAATAGGTAGCTAATACATGTTACAATGAGCTATTAGATATGCTTGTGTCATTTACATGCACAATCTCTCTCGTGTGCGCTCTCTCACGGACTCTGCCTGTGAATAATTCAAAGTGGAGAGGTCTAAAGTGTTGCAACTCATGAAAATTGGTCAAAAATTGTGCTGCCAAAAATTGTATTAGTTTTATCTTATCCTAACCTTGGCAGTTGACCATGAAATAATTGGGATAATTAACAGCTTGCTGTTTGTTAAGGGATACTAAAAAAACAAAGTGGAGGCAAAGATCCAGCTGACTCGAACCAAAGTGCAAAATCCTTTAATGCATGGCAAACTGTTGATTTCCCTTACTGTATGTACTGTATGTTTATGACATGATGTTACAATATTTTTACCCAGGGCTGAGCAACCATGCCTGTTTCAGAATCACATAATACAGTGTTTCTCAACCACGATCCTGCAGAATATCCATAGCTGCGTCTAAAATCGCCTACTACTCAATAGGTACTTGGTACATTCATTCATCCATTCATTTTCTTTTCGGCTTAGTCCCTTTATTAATCAGGGGTCGCCACAGCGGAATGGACCACCAACTTATCCAGCACGTTTTACACAGCAAATGCCCTTCCAAGTACTAGGAAAGTACCAGGTACATTTGAATTTAAATGTACAACTTGACTGTTAGAAAAATTTGTTCTATACAGTATGAATGTGAGTAGTATGAAAGGACAGACATACTACAACTGCCATTTTGTCATCATCACGTGACCTACCCACATCAGTTGTGTTGCTTCACTCTTATTCATGTATTCTCTCGTGATGCATCATGAGATAGCATAGCGTCCATCGTATGTGCACATCAGAATTATTATTATTATTATATTCGGAAATACCATTTGGCTCTCATACTGATTTTAGAGTACTATATCGTTTGGAAGTATGCAATTTCAGATGCAGCCCATGCCTCTTTAATCAAACACACCTGATTCAGATCATCAGCTCATTAGCAGAGACTGAAAGTCTTTTAACATGTGTGACAGCCAAAAGATTTAAAACATGTAGTGTTGGTGGTCCTCTAGGAACGTGGCTGAGAAACACTGACATAATACACGTAAGACTTGA